CTAGCATCACATTATCTGCAACGAGATTTCAGGATCTGACATCGGTCTCCAGATACTCTATGGATATTGGCTCTTACATTAATTGGTTTGTCACCGGAATCAGACACATCATTCCACCATTACAGCCATCCTATGAAGGCATAACCAGTGACAAGTTCATGACTCTTAGGACTGATCAGGTTGGACTCATCCATAACCTTCTAGATACTATTGTCAGGATGCAGGAAGACTTACTCTCCTCCCTGGATGTCTTCACAACTCCTAAGGCTACAGCATCAACAACTTTTAGCCCACATCCGATCCAAAGCTGTCTCCAACCAGACCAAGAGGTTGATAGCAACACAATCTATGAAGGCTACCACACCATTCAACGGAAAGTTGGCACGTGTGATAGATGAAGTGAGACAAGACATTGCAGAACGATTCCAAACTTCAACTATCAACTTAGCTGCTAAAGCCCCAGACCATCCCTTCCTCAGAAGCGTTCCTGGGACTACAAATCCTCATCTTCCAAACAGCCTCCTAAGAAGAAGTTTGTCCCCTACGGGAAGGATTCATTCCAAACGAGTTCTCAGGAATCTTTTCGTCAGCCAGACTACAAGAAACAAGGATATAATCACTGTGATAGACCTGGAGGCAGAGGCGAATGCAGGTTCTGACTCCCCTACCACCCCCTCTGACGTTATAGACCCTTTCGACCTGGTTATATCTATGGGCTGTGATTTGTGCCTACCATCTTTCAACAGCAGGTTACGCCAGACCGATGGATTCTTGACGTCTTGGCTCACGGATACAAGCTACACTTCAGAAAATATCCTTTACTGAAGGACGCAGATTCCATTTAGTTGGAGCCAAATTAGCGGCAGCAGATTTAGCCGTCAGGAAGCTACTTTTATTCTCCGGTATTCTTAGTCTGGAAAAAGAATACAACTGAAATGGGGATGATTATCGTTATGAAGGGCCTCAACAAAAGATATCTGGTTCCGCCACTGAAGTTCCAGATGGATACTGAAGTTACAGTCGACGATGAAGACAGGAGACTGGCTTATCAGCCTAGATTTACAAGATGCCTGTGTTCACGTCCTGATACACCCATCCTCACGGAAATATCCTTGCTTCGCAATCAATGGCCGACGCTACGAATTTCAAGTCCTACCATTCGGGATAGCAATAGCCCCTTGGCTATTTACCAGGATTACAGCGCCAGTCATCAAGTTTGCTCAATCCAGCTAGTTCGAATCCATGGTTACCAGGATGATTTTCTAGCAGCAGACCAAGAGAAAGCTCAACTACATCAGAACATGATATTCTTGGTCCAACTTATGACCTATCTAGGCTCCCTAGTCAATCCCTCCAAGTCTGAGACTACTCCGGTTCAAGACATCATATACATCGGAGCAAGATTCCAGCTAGACAGGGGATATTTATGCCCAAGTGTTTGCGTTGTGTTCATTCGTCGCACTGATAATCTGTTCAAACACAGAATCATTGTAAAACAGTTGGAAAAAATCAATAGCACGATACTTCACTCACCGTGTCAATATATATTCTTGAGTCCGGTCGCCTCTTCAAAATCCCTCATGTCTCCACCGTTGTGGTCCCTCTGCCACTCCCATTCTTGAAAGTTGGCGGGGGGTGGGGGGGACACCTCGTCGAAACCGTCAAAATCTTCCCCCAAACATAAGCGAAATTCCCTCTCCCCTTCGCGTAAATTATTCAAATCAAACACATTATTATTCCCGATAGAGTCGTTGTTAGTCATCTGATCGCTATCCGAATCGTAGTTTGCCACCATTACGCTAGATTGACGATTCAAGCGAGAAAAATACCTGTCGCGAAAACAGGTGACATATCCGCGATTTTCCTGCCAAAAAGACTGGGAAATTCCATCGAATGACGTGTCATTACGTGTAGATCTCGTTTCCATATTTAGAACGAGATTACACACGAGAAAGGAAGTAGAAAGAGCGATTTTGTAAACACGTTCATGCCGCCCGATTTATCGGGCAGCCGTGTGTGGGACTTGGACAGTAGCTGCCCGATTTTTTGGGCAGCCGGGTACTGGGACACGGTTTATGCTGCCCGATAAATCGGGCAGTCGGGGCGAAAGGGTTAAGGGAGGAATCAGGGGTTATCTCCCCTTGACCAGAAACCAGACAAATCTCTCCCTCCATCTGACCACTTGCTTTATTAGCTCTCACTTCCTTTTGGATTTGTGGTTTCTATTTCAGAACTCTCCACCGAAGCCCGACCTAAGTCCGGGTCGGTGGGGTACCGTTTCCCTGACAACTATTTGTCTTAGAATTCTGAAGGCACTCGGAAGACCAATGACTGTTCTCACCGCATGTGAAACAGGCAGTGTTTCCTCTCCTAGAAGCACTAGGGGATCACGAATAACTACGCCCATTGGAATGCTCTCTCCTATTTTGAGAGGATTGAGGTCGCCCCTCATTCTTCTGAAATGTGTTGCTTTTATTGTTCTCAACAGGTCTTCCTCTACCAATGCGACTTTGTGAGCGAGATGACTGTACTTGCATTGATGCAAGCTTCTCTACTGTCTTTTGAAGATCAGCCAGCTGACTGGTCAGAGTAGTAAGTCTCTGGTTGACAGATTTCTCCTCCAACTCTGAGTCAAAATGAACTCTCCTTCCTTGTGAAGGGTAAGGACTCAGTGCCCGCACCGACCTCTGTTGAACAGGTTTGCCTACAACTGACTCTTACTGCTCAGCTACATCCACCGCCTCCTGTAAGGTACGTACACCTCGGTCCATGAACCGGAGTCTCAAGTCTTGATCCACAGCCCTCTTCAGTGCATCCAGAGCCAACCTCTCCTGAAGTTCATAAGGAAGATCAGGGTATGCACCTTGAGCAAGATGCCAGAGATCATCTCGTAAGTCGGCAATTTTCTCACTAGACTTACAGCTTTGCCTCATCAGCTCTTCACGTTTAACATCTGGAAGACTGGTTCCATACCGCCTGCGCAGAGTGTGTGAAAGCCACTGGTAATCCAGTCGCTCATGCTCAGGAAGGCCTGCATAAAACCGCTGGGCTACACCCTCCAGAGCACATCCCAACATTTGGGCTGCCTGGGTATTATCCCAGCATGTTTGTGCAACCAGATTCTTTAACTGTGCTTCGAAAGCTCGATAATCTCCTTGGCCATTAAATTTAGGCAATTGGAGAGATATTCTTCCAATTGAATGATCCCCCCTTGGGGGGTATCTGTCCAGAGTGTCAATCCTTTGTGCTAGACCCAGCACACTACTAGACAATTGTGACACGAGACAAATTAGATTTTGGTCTGAACTCACCATTGGTGGTGGAGCAAGTACTGTGTACCTTGTCTGACCAGTGTATGGGTAATTATGACCACCGGTAGTCTGTGAAAACTGATTCTCAGGGTACACACTAGGAACATTTGGCAAACAATCTTCACTGTGTGACCTGGATGGCAAGTATTCACTGACCCTAGGGTCAGAATAATCTGGTTGTCTCGTTACCTGCAGATCATTATGAACTCTACCTACTGAACTAACAGCAGGTGAATTTGCTGGACTCACAGCACTGAGTTGCTCAGACAGTTCATGTCTGGATGGTTGACCAAAGTCAACATCTGGAAACCGAGTACTAGTATTTTCACCAGAACTTAGCTCCGAAATATTGGACACATGGCGAGAGCGTAAATTTCCAGCCGGACCGTTAACATGATCCACTCTCCTTGACAGGGAATTGATAGATGAATTATTTTCCATTTTATAAAAAAAATTGTCACAAAACTTTTATCTTATGGAATCTTATCAATTTGGAATATTTGTGAAATATTATTCTTACCGGGTACTTTATTTATATATATGAGATCCACAACAGATCCCACCGCTGCCACCATAAAACTGTAACGGTTCAGGGGGTGGGTATTGGGGTACAGCTTTGGGTAGCAAATTGTGGATCACTCCCAATACCACCAACCACACAGTTTTAATTATTTAATTTTCAAGAATAATTTCACAATTAAGAATTGCACAATAACATTTATTAAATAACAAGAATATAATTATTCTTTTCAGTATTTCATTCAGTTAGGAAGATGTACAATAAATATAAAATACTTGAATGTCAACTCACATATCTCGGCTCGAACCGGCTTTCACTCTCTCGTATCAGAAAATCTACAACCGATCAAACTGTCAACAAAGTGACGTCATACCGGAAGTAGTCTCTCGCACGAGGATACGGTCGGTGGAACGTGGGGAAATTGCACTCCACCAGTGACAGAAGTTATTTTACTTCGTGTCATGGCTATGTAGTAATATACAATGCATCTAGATGGACTAGATGCACTTTTGTAGCCATACAAGGCTGATTTAAGCCATTATGCTACAAGAAGTAGTTTCGGGGAACAGAATCACGAATATAGGTGACGTCACACGAACTATCATGTTGCCAAATCGAAACAGGTGATTTAGAACGTGTTCACATTTTGTTTTTGCACATTAAACAAACAGTCAGTAAGATCAGTGGGGATATACGTTAATTCATGTAGCAATAACGTATATCTTTTCGGTTGTATGCTGTATCACATACAACATGTTCAATATGATTCATCTCACTGTCTACTGACCGAAATATACAAAAGGCTTGTACATTACACTAATATTAAAAAACCTTTTTCCAAAATACCCTGGTTATAATACATTTCATTTATACCAGAAAGCAACGTCCAGCAAAGTCATATTTATAGATAGTTAATAAAAGCTATCATTTGGTACACAAATCAAACTCAGCTGAGCTAACATAGACCTCAATTGTGTATGACCTCAGCAAATTTCCTTATATTTTTGTTGTCTTCATTGAAGTATGAGCTATCTTGATCTGTCACAAACAAATCTGTAAATCTGAAATAGGTGATTAGTTAATCACTTTGTTTTAATTGTTAATGTCTTGGTATACCATCAAAATGGATATTTACACTAAATGTAGTTTTTGGAAAGCCAAGACAAGTGATGGCTCAAATGAACGGATGTCACAGCCAAGGGAGCCGTTTCCATAACGTAAACAAATGCACATGAACATTTGAATCTCTCAACCAACCTACAAGTAACAACATCAATTAATATAACACAATTCTGTTCTCCGTATACACTGTGGTGTGGAACCAAAAATCTTTATTTTTTCACATTCACAAACAAAAGCGTGAATATTTAATTGTTAAAACCGCTCATCCCACACCATTTTAGATGTTAAAACTGATGAGAAATGCTTAAGGTTTTACCCTTCGTCACATATGTAGATTGATAAAATGCGAAAATAAAGACTAAAGCATTGTCACAAATGTGATCCAGAAAATATAACGGCGGAACTCTGCACTTTATGAAAACTGTAACATTGATCAAGGTCTTGCCGGGCGAATACAAAGGGAAAACCACTATCAGTAAGAGTGTGAACTAAGATTAGCTGCTCCTGAGTTATCAATAAGGTCACGGTCATTACTATAGCCTGCCGACACATTCCTTTTTTACCCTTCCCAAATTATTGAAAAGGTATGTTGTTCACACTTCTTCAGCATGCACTTGGATAGAAATATATTGTAAGCTATCGACTCCATAGTTATGATTGCTGTTGTGATTAAGAACATTTCTGATGTGAAATCTTTGATGGGTTCTTTGTGTTTTCGAAGTGTCAATTTGAATCACACAGTTTTCACAAAATGAAATGTCAATGTTTGAACTTAAAGCAGATTATTTGTTTGAAAAATATCTACGGTAAAGTATGCCACTATCTTGGATGAAGATAAAATAAACTTACGACAGGCATGGGGTTATCTTAGATTAATGACAATCTTACGATATCTTAGGGCTAGGATAGTTTTGAAAATAGTCTACGATAGCCTACGATTTCGTTACGATAACTTTACGATAATTTAAGGGCTACGATCGTTTCGAAAATCTAGGCCCTGTTATCATCACTATTTGATAGTGATTCTTAAACACATGCTCATGATATAGTCGGAATCGTACATTCGACTCTGCTTTGGGCAGATATTTGTTATGAATATGAAAAGAATTTTGTAGCTATTATTAGCATTGTGAATAATTCTAAGATTACTACCAACATTGCATCGGAAGTAATCCCTCTCACCTGTTAAATTGTCTACATATATTTAGATGATATAGGAAAGAAGTTCGGTTTTCTGCCTTGCTCATGTGCACAGGATCGGAGCAGTAATCGTTGACATTGAAGTGGACTTCTTTTGAAATGGCGTGATTATAATTAATTCCTTTGTAAACTGCAGGTTTTTGATGCCTCCAACAACCTCCTTGTCCGTTTGCATCAAGGTAGACAAGAGTATATTGTCCAGTCAGCTGTCTACTACCGTGTTGTGTTTACTACGGATGGATCCTATGTCAAAAATGGATTTAAGGCTGCATGGACAGGTATGTGGATGTGTACTTCTCTTAAGTTTGGTTACTTTGTAATTTGTCTCTTTTCCCTTCTTTTCATCATTACCTTACATTTGATGTAGTTGTTGAGGTACATATTGCCTGTGAAAACATGCTGTGAATTGCATTCTTCAAAAACATCAACAACTTATGCAGCTTGACATTAGTAACCTTAGATTGCAGTGGATCTTCAGCATGCTCATTTTATTGTAGTTGACAAATGTCCAGAAATGAGCTTAACTTATGTTTAAGAAATCAAGCCAGGGATCAGGGGAAAAGTGAAATCCTTTCACTGTCAGCATGCAAATGGTGTGTGGCTGAGTGTCCTTTTAGAGCATGCTTTTCTCAGACCAGTTGTTGTTGCTATTGGTCCAAATGAAGTGTTCGGAAATGTATTATTCTTGTGAATACCCTACCTCTATTACATGAGTGAAGGCTTCAATCACACCAGTTCTTCTATAAAATTTCAACAGAATTCCTTTTCACTGTCAACCATACACCATCAGTTGAAATACTAATAGTATCAGCCTATTTCTGCAGGAAACACCAGTTCTTTCTTGTGTGAGTTCAATCTACAATGTTTTCTTTTTCGATTATTTTCTTCTGTACAGAATAATCATATTCCACAAATTGAAGAGTATTATTACGTAGGTCCGCTGATTGAGTGGGTGTATTGGTTGGAAAATAATGATGTCCCCTACTTCCACACTAGTTTGTCAGAGGATTGTTTACCATCCACAGCATTGTCAAGGGGAGTCATCAAGGATGCATATCCGGGCAGAACCCTGCTCAAAGCCTTGTATGCCCCGATGAAGCTGCGCAACCACTGTAGGAGGTGGTTGAACAGCAACAAGGGCGGATATCTTGTGAGCACTCACCCTTTAGGTTCCATCAGACCAAATCCATCCAAGAACATTGGTAGATTTCGGGAAACAACAGTCTTGGTTGCACTCAGGTGGAGGTTGTTGTGTTTCAATGCAGACAAGACCATGCGCGAATTGGAGAGGGTTTCTTCCAGAGATTGACCACCACAAAACAGATCATCTGCTAGTTTGATCACGCTACCATCTTGGACAAGATCCCCCAAAACTCGACTCATCAGCTCTTCTAGGTACGACTCTGACCCTGACATGCCCATAGCACAGTGGGTGTTGACACGTAGGCCCTTGTAGGGGGTCACAATACCACAATACTTCATCAAACTGTTGGATAGGGGTATCTGGTAGAAAGACTTGAGCAAGTCTGTTTTAACAATAAACCTCCATTTCCCAATCTCCTGAAGGACTTTATCCACATGTGGCATCAGTGTAGGTTGGGGTTTACAGTAATGGCCAACCTATCCGAACGATGTGACCAACCGACTTCCGCCTCCAGGTTTCTTAATGAGAAAGGACATGTTTAGATATTCAATTGTTCCATTTGACCTGTTCCATTTTGGCAAATACCCCTTGTCTCAAGTTTATCAAACTTCTAATGGGGTGACACCATCTCGTTGAGGTGCCTTAGTGATCGGGAGGTTGATGGCAGATGCAAGGGAGGCCGGAACCATATTTGTGGTATAGTGCCAGTATCCAAAGTAAGACAAACAGGATGACTTCCATAGAATGCATACAGGTACAGTGAGGGTTCAACATTTACACGCTTGATACTATGGTGATCGAGAAGCAAGTTTGTTTCTGCCATACAATGCACCTCTGTCAGATTCTTGGAGGGACCGACAATACTTCTGAGAGTGTGTGTTATAAGAAGGACGCCCTGCTGTCCTACAGATGATGCATTGCCGCGTCTTACTCGAGGATGCTGGCTTTCCTCTACGAGATTGGGTATTTTGCCTGGGGTAGCCACTTGGGGTGTACGCTTGTAATGCCTTGGTGTCCTGAATACTGTGTAATTCATCGAGCAATGATGATAAAGCCGGGGAGATTTCAGGCTTAAGGGAAGCCAAAGACTTGTTGCGGAGCTCAGCTCCATATATCTGTAATTCTTGTGAATCCTCTACCTCTATTACATCTTTGCCATAAATCCTGTATTTTGGCTTCACTCACACTGACTAAATTTTCAGATTTTTAACAGACATATAAGTCAAATTAAGAGCTGCTAATTGCAGTGACGATCGTAATCACGCAAGTATTGCTGGTGTGAGGTGTTTGTGAGGTCAGGAAGAATAACACAAGATTATAGTTGACGTTCACTCAGTGCTTTTACTGTCAAAATGGCGAGGCTCATGAAGACAAAGATGAGAACCCCATAGCTGAAATACCATATAAGGACGTGCTTACATAGAGTTGCTTCCCCTTAAAATAAAGCAATTTACCATGTTACACAAACTCCAAACACTGTTGTAGGTTACACACAACCAAATGATTTCCCATAGACTTCTATAGTAACGTTACCTGTACGTGTACGTGTGTGCACAGTTTGGCCTTAGAGCAGCAATAAAAACATAAAAAATTACTAGCTTAGCCAGCTCCTTTTCCGAGTACAGGAAGCTAAACACACCACCCCCAGTTTCGCACCAAATGTCACCTCCTTGAAAATAGCTGTGGTCACATTCAGCATAAGTCATCATGTTGAAAAAGACAGTACTAAATATAGAAAAACATGTTCAGTTTTAATAACTGGATGGATGTACATTTGAAAGACATAAAAATCTTACAGAATATCCTCCAATCACAGCCTGCAGATATCTCTCAATCTGCACTGAAGGCTCCCTACGAAAACCACACTGTCCCAACTGGTTCTGATTTGGTGTAGTAGAACCTGTAGGACTTGCTTAGTGCTGTTATTGCATCTAATGGCACTGTGATGGAAGTAATATTTTTAGACAAGCGCTCTTTAAACTCATATCATTCATTTATTAATTCTGTCCTGTTTCACAATGTCTGAAATACGTAATTTATATCAATTTATTATTTCTTATCTATTGATTAAAAGATTATTCACTAGATCTATTACCCGCAATGTTATTGAAAATATAATTCTCAGACACACACTTCAACAATGGGTCCACACCGAACAAGTCAAAGAGCAAAATAAAGACGTGTTAATAAATATATTATACAAACTACTAAATACTTACATCTAAGTTATAATTACATCTTTTCGTGAGATCAGAGTCAAAAACAAATCTCGGCTTTCATCGCCTCAATTTCCGCACGGACACAATGTTTAATGCCAAAATATATGCATGAAAAATCTTTGTCACAGCTCGTAACCTGGCATGATACATACACGAAGTTTCATATTTTTAATGTAGATTGTGATTTCCTGCTTAAAACGTTCAGAATAACACAATTTAACAAAAACCTTTCGTCTAGATCTGAAATTCATCATACATGAGGACTGTGGCATTGCTGTTATTTGATTGGCTGCCTTAGGTCACATGCTCAAATTTGACCAATCACAAACCTTGTAGCAGATTTCGGCAAGAAAGCGTCATTAAAAAACAATTTTTATTGTGTGGATGACAAAATAAGCTTTGTAGATAATGATGTGTCACATGGCACGTGTTATTCATACGAAGCTTCGAAAACGGAGATATTTCTCCATAGTACTGAGCTGACAGCCGCTGTTATCGGGAAAATGATGATGACAGATACTATTCATAATTCTTTATGAAATAATTTTTCCGATTACGTAAACAATGAAAATAAAAAAGAAATAGGGAAATGGATTTTTTCAAATCTTATATTTGCCGAAAATCTACAAACTTAAGTTGTAAATGCCTTATTAAAATAATGTGAAAAACATAACTTTCATATGTATAAACAGTAGGATTTAGACCTTTCAAAAGGTGCTGATGGGGCTTCGGTTAATCATGGTCAATCAAATGGAGTGAAAGCTTTCAAGATGAAAGATCTGAAGATGTTGAAGATAATCCTAAAAGACTCTTCATGAAAACCAGTAGAGCTTCAGGAACTTGACTCTCTAAAGCGTTGATGTTTAATTCATCTGGCGAGGGAAAGTGTTCAGTGTCAAATTTGATGTCAGATTAAAGATTCCTGAGCTTTTTTCCCAATTGGCGTGACTCGGCAATCAATTCATCACCATCCTCCTGGTCATCAGTAAGAAAAGCTTGGTGTAAAATCTCTGAAGCTGTATGTCTAAATTGGAATACATTTTTCTTTCCTCCTAGTTCAGTTATACTCAGTTTATTGCCAAAATGATTTTGCAGTTTGCGTTTTAAATGTTTAACACTGTAAGGTTCAACATCCTCTGGAAGAAATGAAGACAGTTATACCTGTAGATCTGATATAGTAAACTGACTCCCAGTTTGTGATGACAACCAGGTACACAAGTTACTGAAACCTTCAGAATTTGTCGAATTTAGATTTCTTTCATTCGTATCACAGTCTTGTTTACAGCGTAAAAAAGTTTGCTAACATCGGCGATGGTAGATTGCCTCTGCTGCTCTTGTCTCCAGCACATATGATTCTTGACTTGACATCCAGAGCCTGCTTATCTGAACGTAATGTATTCTGCAAAGTGCTACATTTATCCAATTTGTCAACAATTTCAACTGAACCTATGCTTTGTCTTTTTGGATTCTTTTCAACATTAGGAAAGTTAATACATTCTGCACAAATAAGACAGTGAGTCTTGAAATCAAAATTGATTTGTAATGTGCGAAGATTTCTTGGCGGTAAAGTATCAAGTTCATAATTTCTTTTCTTCAAGAAATAATGTATGTTTTTTTATGAAGTATATGACTTCCTGCATTGTTCATGCACAACAAATGCTTGTTTATTAGATATAAGAGGCAGCAGTTGTTCATGTTTTCCATCTTGTCTTTTCTTAGACGAAGAAATAATTGATAGGAAGCCCTTTGTTGGTAAGTTAGCATCCCATCCTGCTTGATCACAAATGATGCAGTGACCATTCTCACCTGAAAATAGTAAGAATTCAAATCAAACATATATTTCAGTATATTTTAGTTTTAGTATGATTTATAAGAAATTAACATTATTGAATAATTGAATTCATTGTCTCAAAAAGTAACTTTATTTCTTGAGCTATTATGCTTTGGACAATTAATTGACTCCCATGAATAAAGGTAAACAAATATATGTATCTTTCTATTTTGTTCTAATCATCCAATTCTTCAAAACATTTTAAGTAAAAGAACAATAAGTTCTTTTTGATACAGGTTGTGGCTATTTGTGGCATAATTATATTAGATGAACAAGGAAATTAGTGATCTAAAAAGAATGTCACTCTGTATCCTTTAGAATGAACAGAAAAATAACTTATTAATTACATTTATGTTTTCTTTGTTAAAATGAGTAATTGATACAAACATATTCTTGAAAATTAAACAGATCCATGTAAAGATTATATTCAGGTTATTTGCTGCATATCTTTTCTCATACATATTACATTACAAAAACAAATCAGGTTTGGTAAGATGTTCTCAGAGAAAAGAAGTCTGATGGAAAATAGTATTACTTCAACTCACAGCTAATTTGCAAGGTATGGAATTGAAGATTACATTCAGGGGGTTTTCTACAGTAAATAGTTAAAAACCAATAATTAAAAATTGGGTTCAGTTGACGTTCCCAGATTGAAAATTAGTATGTTGGAAAATAGTATCACTGCAACCAACACCTGATATATATATATAGGGTATAAATTTAACCATGATTAAGGACTGAGTTGTCTATGAAACGCATATATTTCATTATTCCTAACCAATGTTAGTTTACATAGAAATCAATGTGAACATGAAACTAATATTTGATGAAATATCTAGCATACATCAAATATAAAAGTTGCCTAATTGACCATTGACTGGCCTAACATTAGAGTGCATTTGAATCATAAATAGTAAAATGATCAACATAGTAATTCATTTGTAACAAATGTTGTACACAGAATGTAACTTTTACTCACCATTTAGATGATTTTCACTCTCAGTCATGACAGCAACAAAGTAGAAAATGAATATTATTCCACTGTAAAGCAGACAACATGGAGGCTGACAGCTTGTTTATGGTCAAGCTCCTCACAGCGATAGCCCGTTCGCGGAGCTCTCTATACTATCGCTGCCACCAGTCAAAACTCCCCACATTGAATAGGTGGCCACAACCATGCTTGGAGTTGAACTCGCAACCGAATGACCGTTATGTTTACAAACAAGTGACGACTGTCGTGACGCCGAATACACTTATCGCTGCTAAATTACTTTCTTCGTTTGTCAATTTGAATTTCTGTTTGATTTAAACTATCGTGTTATTGATATAGTAATAATGTAACGGAGAAGTTGGTTGATTTTCCGTTAGTCTGCAATCTCGAACCAATTTGATTATTAAAACAACAAAGTAAATTCTTCTGGAAAACATGGTCAGTCGTAAACCTTTTCAAAATGAAATATGATGGCATTCCCAAAGACATAAACAAAAATATCAACGTTACTACGTTTGGGGTTAGAGGGCAAATTTCAAGATTCTTGTAATGGCCGCGCCCACACTGGTGGCAGCGATGTTACCGAGAGTGTAACGAAGGTGTCACGCGCTGGGAAGGAGCTTGGTTTATGGTAGCAACAGGTAGTACTTTCCTTACAACTATAAACACTGGGAAACTGAATGGGGAGTGATTTGGAGCAAACTTTGACATGGCATTGTAGATTTTCCTCAAGTCTGATTTTGTCTGGTTTTTTATATAACATCTCCTATACCTAATTAATGATTTGTGATAGAAATTTGGTTGTTCCTTAAAATGTCCGGGTTGAATTAATTTTAGGGATTTTTCTACTAGCCTACACTCCCTCATGCTAGCTGGCTACGGTGGTATACATTAATAGCTACAAATACCTATTAATAATGAATTTCTAAGTGATCAAACAAAACTCCATGCAAAGGACAGTTGTGGTCAGTCAACTTGGTCATGGTGCTGATATAACATATTTACTCTCACATACACATATACCGTATTCGACCCATTAAGCGCCCCTCCCCCAATAAACGCCCCATCCCCGTTCCGAAAATTTATATAGTAATTATTTCGTTTTAAATGAAAATCGTCCGGGAACCGAGGTTTCCGGATATTTGAAGTCCGTATAAGCGGGGCATGACTGTATTCTGTTAATTTTAGATATATGTGACTTTGAATATTATGCGCAGAAAAAAATTACACTGTACCCCTTCAGCGAAGTCCGGCAAACAAACGGGTGATGAGAAACTTTGTCAGTACAAATTCGAAATTTGAGATAAAAAAATCACCAGACATGTTGATTTACCGTTTAAATTGTATTTTTTGTTCAGCTAGGCATTGTTTTATATCCAGGGATTAAGATTACCTTGTGCATTTTCTCGTAAACTAAGCCGGACACAGCAATCAGCTGTACACACGTTTTCTTGGAATCTACCAGTGATTCGGTCAAGACGCACCCAATGATATAACTTTACAGAATTTTAAATGCAAGAATTGGCAAAAGTTATATCTGAAACTATTTTTTTATCAGGAATAATATATTCCAAGATCTTGTTAATTTAGATGTAGCTTTTACTAAACATATTTAAAATAATAATAACCCTAAGCGAAGCAGCTGATCGCTTTTGCTGGGTGTTATTTTTTACATGGAACCAGTCTGACCAGTCACCGTCAAGGCTCCCGTGCACGTGATCGCGAGAATTATGTGTTGACATAGAATCGTCCAACAAAAACAAATATGACTTTTAACGAATCAAAGTATGGAATTTATGATATATGTATCCATTCTCTGTCAACTTAAGTTCGTTTCAAGGCGTCAATAGCGGTAATCTGACCGTGGTTGCTGTTAATAACGGTGAGTTGTGCGATCTTCCAATCGCTTCACACACGATTTCGCCGAAATTAATTAAAACAATATTAAAAGGAATTTCGAATAAAATTAATGAAATAAGTTACAAACAAAAGTCCAGATATACAAAGAACACTTTTTATAGCCAGACAGTGTAATTACATGAATAATTTGCGAACTTCAGTATGGATTTGTCGACATGGTATTTCCGGTGTTACGTGCTCACAGTAATGTCTTTCCATGAGGGGAAAAAACATCAAAACTCATTAATTCGTATATAATGCACAGCTGTGTGTTTTGGAAAAAAAGTGTGCACTATTCTCAAGAAAATACGGTTAGGCTTACTGATGAATTTACGCGAATTTGACTCTGAATTGGTCCCAATAAGCGCCCTTCTGTCTTTTTTAAAGCGCCCTTGGCGCTTAATGGGTCAAATACGGTATACAACATTGTATGACAACAGTCAGACGTATCGAAAATTATTTGTTTTGTGGAAATAGCATCAGTTTTGTAGTTTATGTGATATACACTTCTTATTTAATGTGATGTTTTGTTTTTGCTGTTGTTGCAGACAAACTTTCATTAATAATTTACATTTCATAAGTGAGTCTATGTTTTGCAAGAGTACCTCTGTCAAGCTTTCATAAATCTTCTGTTTTCCAGAGACTACAACTGAGCATGCCAGGGTTGGCGGCTATGCCACGTTGTCATGGACTCTCCCGGAGCCTGGGACCAGGGAGTTGAGTGTATGTAACAATGAGACAAAGAAATGCCTTCTTCATGTCACAGGCTATAATGACGTCAGAGCTGCCAGTGACAAGTTGACATCTAGAGTGAGATTCATTGGAAACGTGTCATCCTCAGGAACTGGTTTGTTCAGATTCACGCTCTCTAGTGTAACTTGGGAAGATGCAGGTCTGTACCAGTGTTACAGAGGCGCACCAGACTCACGCGGACCAATCATCCCTAACTGTGGCCAGGAGCTGTTACTGCCAGGTAAGTAATATTAAGAAAGTCCTGTCTACAAACTGATACATACTAGTATCTGTTCCAGGGCTCGAAATTAACCGTAAATGGCAGGGCTAAATCATGATCTTCGTGCCTCGATGGCACGCTTGGAAAATAGGAATTAATAACCAAACTTTGCCATATAAGGCATATTTTAATGATAAATATAAATCTCATCAGCAATAGATTAACTCTCTCAACACGGTGGGCCGGTTTTCTGGCCAAGAAGCATCGAGTCCCCAGACACCGTAGGCCGGTTAACCGGCCAAGCCATAGTCACGTCAAAATAGTATATATTTTTATGGACCTACCTGTAATATCATTCATTTATTAAATCTATCACATTTCACAATGTCTGAAATACGTGTTCCATTTCAATTTATCATTTTTTATCGATAAATTAAAAAATAATTCACTATTTCCCGCGATGTTATTGAAAATAAAATTCTCGGACACACATTTCGACAACGGGTCCACATCGTACATGTCAAAGAGCAAAATAAACACGTATTAAATAAATCTTTAAATATATCATACAAAGTAATAAATAAAATCAACAAAAATATATCTAAAAGTAATCAAACTTACATCTAAGTGATTATTTCCATCTTTTCGTGCGATCGCGTGTAATGTAAGTCAAATGACATCTCGGCTTTCGTCACCTTGAATTCTCGGCTCGGACACGATGTTTAATGTAAAATTATATGCATGAAAAAATCTTTGTCACAGCTCGTAACCTATCACGATACATTCACGAAGTTCCATATTTTTAATATATATCGTGATTTCCTGCTTAAAACGTTCAGAATAACACGATTTAACAAAACTCTTTCGCCAACTTCTGAAATTTATCAAACATGAGCTTGGTATCACAGCTGTAATTTGATTGGCTGCCTTATGTCACGTGCTCAAAAACGACCAATCACAAAACTTGTAGCAGATTTCGGCAAGAAAGAGTCATTAGAAACCGATTTTAATCCAATGAAATCTCTTGTTATAACTACGAAAAAAAACCAGGCGATGTTACGAGCGTGTAGATGAAGGAATAAGCTTTCCAGTGATGTGTCATATGCCATTCTTCGACGAACGTGTTATTCATACGAAGTCTCGAAAACGGGGGTATTTCTTCATGTTACTGAGCGGACAACCGCTGTTATCGGGTAATGGGTGATGACAGAAACTATTTATAATTCTTTTTAAAATGATTTTCCAATTACGTAAACAATGAAAATAAAACAGAAATAGGTAAGTGGATTTTACTTCAGATGGGGCTTGTCTGTCACAGTCATTAAATGGAAGTCAGTAGAGTAAGTTTGTAACTCACTTTAACTTGAATAAATCACTTACTATTAAGATCACAGATGTCTCACTTACTTACAATTACATGAATTTATTAACATTTTGATTGAACTACTTGCAGAGAGACACAAATAAACAACAAACACTTTAATGGTGGTTAAAAATTTTAATGCTGAAATGTAAAAAATAATTGGCTAGGCACCCAATGATTTCCCAAGGCACCCCTAAATGTTATACCTTGTGCCTTGTGGCACACTTGGCAAAAATTGCATTTCTAGCCCTGTGTTCACATAACATGCTAAATACCAAATGCCTGGAATATCACTGTGATATTCATACTGTTTGGTCATTTTTAAATCTTGATTAGCTTTCACAGAATTTATTTGTTGGGTGACTTTTTAGAAGCTGTTGAACACCATGACTGACATATATATAGATGTCTTCTTGGTTTATTGGAAATAGAGTTTCAGTATGTGCATATTAGTCCATGAGCCAAGACCGAAAATTTCGCTTATCGGTACCACTGAGAGTGGCAAATTCTAGTTGCAATTTTTCACATGCTATATATGTCTAGTTTATGTTTTGATATGATAACCATCACAGATTGGTAGCTTATTAGTAGTTTTAACCCCTTAAATCAGCATACCCTAGGGAAAACAGCCATAAACACGTATTTTGTTAATGTAATTTACTCTGACAATAAAACGAGTACATACGGAATAAAAACATCATAGAGACCATGGTTTATCTCTTGAGCACACAATCAGAACACTAGTAGCTTTGAAAATTGACTTGAAAGTTGAATTATATGAGTCCATAGTTGAGTAACTGGGCCTAATCACCGTCAAGCTCATCATTAGAGTCTGACAAATCTGAAAACTCCAACTGTGGTTCATCCTCCTTGCAGGTTTGTAGCTTACACATGTCTGTGCACTTCAAGCCATTGGTGAGGCAAGAACAATCTGGCAGTTTGCATGAGCGGACACATTTGCAGGAGAGAAGCTGGAGAACGGCATCTGGTGCAGGTGAGCCACGCATCCACTGAATTGTCAGCTTGCCGTCCTCATCTGTTGTCCAACCACACTCCTTGGGGCTTGGGACAATGGGGCGGGTCTGCAGACATCACCTCCAGATGGCTGCCTGGTAGTTGACATGGAGAGCATGCATGAACAGGCAGTCTTCACAAGGTGGCAGTTGGCTTGACTCCACCTCCCCTCGTCTGGCACAGAATAGTTGGTGTCTGAGTCTGTTCACCTCGGTCGTCTGGGCGGAAGGCAAGTACATTTGGCAGGTGATCTTCTGCAGCCCCTGGAACATTTCCGTTGATACCTCCCATCAACTACCAAGTTCACTGAAGGCCTCCTGGTAGGTCTTGTCTGACTTAATCCTCTTCAACGTTGCCATATTCCCCCGGCCAGCAAAGGCACAGAACGTGCATGCAGACATCATCTCCCAGTGCCTGGTGTAGCTTCCGGATGTCTTTGTACCTTGTGCGGCTCTTCGTCCCACATTTCTGGAATTTTGGGCATGCCATGCTGCTGCTGATGCCGAGGGTGAAGATCAAGACATCAGTATCATCAGCAGTGATGACTACACTCTTGTAGCCATGCTCCGCGGCCAGAAGGCGGGTGTCAGCTTCTTCTTGAGAAGACTTCAGCTCTCCAGCCTCCTCCCACTCTCCTTTGGTCATCTTCTGGAGAAAGAATCAGAAGCACCAGGGAATCATCCGTCGGATGGCTGCCAAATGAAGCATCCAGTCACCCTTTCGAGAAGACCGAATGAGGGCCCAGCATGATTTCGACCATGTCTACATAAGACACGCAGAAGGCTGAGAGGCTGTGTTCTCTGAGGGAGTTCAGGTAAGATTGGAACAGCTCCAAGATCCTCCTGCAGGAGTGGTCTTCAAGTAGGTTCAGGAGTGAAGCTTGGCATACATTGCTTTCTGAAGTCGACAATCCTCTGCAGAGTTTCATCTAGGTGGTGAGGATCGTGGATATGGTTGTCTTGCAACCATAGGAGAAAGCCTTTCCATGCAAGCCTCATCAGTGCTTCATACACAAGCAAGTGTATTCTAACTCCCCGGTTGTACCTGCGCCCTTCCATGACACCAGCTTATCGATCGGTCTGCAATCACCCCTGATTCAACACACAGATCTCTGAGCCCTGCATCTTGAAATCTCTTCCATATGATGGAGAGGAGGTTGTAGATTGTGTGGAAGACCCCCATCCTGATGATTATGTTCTTGAACTTTTCGTGTTTCCACACTATCTCCGCAGCCTTGGCATAGAGTGCTTGGTCGAACACACACACAATCTCATTCAGCTGCAGGACTTGCGTGATGCGAAGAGTTTGCGCCAGCACTTCATTCACAGTGGACATGTTTGTTGCGGGAGCATTGATGGTGGGCAGGTAGCTCACAGTATCTTGAGCAACAATGACATCATTGCGGGTCAGGTTGTTGAATCCGGTGCAGCTGCTGACTGTCTGGCTCGTGGGGTCTGCTATGCGAGTCAGGAGCCAAATGTGATTCTTCACCTGGGCTTCTCTAGTGGAGTTGACATCCAGAGTCTCAGTCTTTGGTGGACCTGCTCGCTTCCCAGCATTGTATGCTGGCAGCATCAGAGGGGCAGGTCTGATGCTCCTCTTGTTGGACTTCTTGTTGACTTCAGGCAGTGTACCCTGTGGCATGGCCCAGCCACTTTGGCCTGGACAGCAATGCCGTTGACCCTGTGTGAGGTACCTTCCCCGCTCAGCGTTTCTTCCAGACGGTCGATGTTGTCCCAGGCCAAGGTGGTGAATACCCCAGGATGGACATCTTGTGGCAGTGGATTACCACATGCTGTGCACACAGAGTGCTGTGTCAATCTCCTCTACCTGGGAGTAGGGCACACACTGCCCAAGACGATTCAGTGTTCGTATCAGCTCGGTGTTTCCTGTCAGCGACTTCACTGCAAACGGAAGGAGGATGTGTTTTGGTGGCTTAGTCCTACCACCAAATACAGCAAAGACAATGTCACTACCGAAGGAAGTGGCCAGGCGCTTGGTTCTCTCTGAGGGGTTTGGACATGCAGCATCCCCTGTTAGAACTCGATAATAGCTCGCGGAATGACAGTTTGTTCTGTATCAGGTGGCCATGTTTGGCTGATATCTTGATATCATCCCTCAGTTGAATCGCTGCTCGGGTCAAGGTACCTTGCTTGGAGTTAACAGGCCGTGCTTCTGTCTTCAAGGTGTATGCTGCCTTGACCAGGTCATCCATCGGCATACCATCCGGGTAGACAAGGACTTTTCAGTAATTCATCAGTGACATTCTTGCACATCTCATTCATGATGGCAGACAGTCGCTGTACAATGCAATGGGGATTAACAATTGGGATTAGCATCTTATTAATAACGGCAATTAAGTATTTCAAGGCATATAGATGTCATTACTCAAGGGTAATTAGCCTTTGGAATTAAAAGTTCAATCAGACAATTGTTGTCGTAAATCAGTCGCTATGACACAGCACATAGGGGGAAACGGTTTACAACTGTCCATTAGCAGTCAGAACAAAAATTTTGAATTCTTTGTCATCATATATGCACAATGTTGAATCCATGGATTGAGTGCCATTTAAGCAGTCATTGACACATGGTATGATCATGTTGTTTTAAGTTATTATGAATACATACCTAAATGAATTATGAT